GCAGCCTGCGCCTCCTCGGCCGCCGCCAATGAGACTCCTCCCGCTGCTAGGTGAGCGCAGGGGCCCGGCCGAGTGTGGGGGGCTGACCCGGGTTGCAGGATGTTTGTCCCCTGGCCTTTCAACCTCCGGAGTCTGACATTCGAGGCCCAGGGCTGTTTCCCTTTATGCCTCCTGGCGAAGTCCCCAAAGTCCTCCAAGTCCTCTTCCCCCACAAGAAACCCGGGGAATCCAAGCCACTAACCCTTGTGGAAGGAAGGCTTCCTGACACTTTAAGGGGGTTGACTGCCTGCCGGCCCAGACTTTGGGCTCATTTAAATTAACTTTTTGACCATACAGCGCTGAAAGATAATGAATCAAATCTCTGAGGACGAATTAATATTGTTTTAGACAAATATATACCCTCTGTGGTGAGGCTGGGACTTGGAATTGGATGTTTAAGGATCTCTGGGTACAGATAAGGACAATTTAACTCAGATGACTCTTTGCAGAACAATGACTTCGTGATTCATACCTGTTTGTCCCCCCAAGCCTGCTCTTGAGAAGACCTAGAACAACAATAAAAACAGGAACCTCGTTTGCTTTTTCTTATCTTTGCCTTACAGTCTGCCACAGATCACTTCCAACTTTATTTTCCAACTTTTGTTTCGTTTTCATTAGTTGTGTTTAGGTGGTGCTCCATTTCTGGAAGATCAATCTTTGAACAGTATGTGGAGTTTTAAATTTTCTTTAATGTAAGAAAAAGTAAAGGGGATTTTGTTAGGAAGAGGCAGAGTTGGCGATCCTTAGATATAGGAGTAAAGTTCAGTTGCTTTGGTCCTCTTAGATGTTAGGATGTCTTTAAATAACACAGATGTGAATTTGAAAAGGTCCCAATACCCAGTTTACCTTGCTTCCTGCAAAATTTGCCCCCAGAAGAGAGAAATTGATTAACAAACATTCTGTTACCTTTAAAAGTATCTCACCTCAGACTGAAGGGCGACATTGGATCAATGACTGGAAACAGTTTTTACTATAAAACCAGGTTGCTCGCTATATTTTAGTTTTGTCGAGATTTACTTGATAAGGATTGAAATAAAAAATAGCCTTTCTTCTAGCTAAATGCTCTCTTGGGGATTGTTATTATCTGTGTATCTAAATGGAAAGAAAGAAGACTATGTTTATTGTACTCTAACTTAACAATGGGAGGAGGGGTTTTCTTTTTTTTTCTTTCTTTCTTTCTTTAAAGTGTATTTCTCTATTTTATTTAGTGGGCTTTTCCACTTTGTTGAATTGTTGCCACACGCAAAATTGCACCAAGACACGTTGCCTCCCAAATGCAAAATGTGAAATACGCAATGGAGCTGAAGCCTGCTACTGCAACTTGGGATTTTCAGGAAATGGTGTCACAATTTGTGAAGGTAAACGATCTTCATTACCTCTTCTGGACTGTCTCACGTAGTAACATGAAATTCTGTGGTTATCGCCTATCTTTCATCCAGAAATTCTTATTTTATCATACAGTGTTAGATTTCATGCTACTGGGGAGAAATGGCTTGGTTAACGAAACAATAGTTTGAAGTTCCTGTGTCAAGACCTATGCTTTATTATTAATTTTCATGACTCTATGTATATCTTATTTTTGTTGCGAATATCAAAGATTGCCCTTGAACTTAAGCTGAAAAACATGGGGGCAAAAAGCGGAGTCAATAGTTTTGAGAGCACAAGAGCAAGAAAGTTCATGAAGTCCTGTCTGGTCTAAGGTGGTAAGTGTGGTCCTACATTTTCAGTAGTATTAGACTACCTCAATTTAAGGACGATATTAAGAGATCTGAGGTTTTGTCATGGATACCTTATGTATCGCAGATGGAGAAAGGGGGTGGAAAGGGGAGAGAAAAGAGAGGAGAGAGGAGATGTTGAAAAGACATGCATTTCTGAAGTAGATTCTGTTGGTAGAACTTGAGGGCACAACCCAGAGATTGCTAGAAACGGTGCTTCTGGGGTGCCGGATGGTCCATCCACATAATGAAGTCAACACCATAAATGGTTTCTTCTCTGTGACTTCTACCAGCACCAGCTCACCCAATCATTAGTCTGCCCTTCATTTTCAATGTATCTTGACTTTATTTACTGTTTTTCTATGCTAAGGATGAAATCCAGGGCCTTCTGTAGCCTAGGCAAGGGCACTACCATTAAGCCAGACAGCAGGGGCCTAGCAGAAACCAGTTTTAGTAGGTTAATAGTACAGTTTTCTCTGTAGGAGAGACAGAAGGGAAAAAACAATATTCCGAGTCAAGTCAATTAGTTTGAATATGTAATTAAATGGCAAGTTCAAATTAGAGCTATGTGATACTTTACTCTTAAATGTATTTAATATAACATGGACATTTTCCAATTAAGCCAGGATATTGTTAGTTGTTAATATTGCATGCGGTTGCTTATTGCATAAACACGTTGTATCTCATGTTTCAATTTGTTAGGCTCTTAAAAATTAAATATGCAATATATAGTAATGCCAAATCTCATAATAATTAGTTTAATATTTTAAAAAATACACAGCAAAGCTATAGTTTGCTTAACGGTACATTAGGTCAGGCATTTTGTTTCTACGTACAGCCAGAATTTGTAATATACTATTCCACAAGCACTATAACATTCTTTCCATAAATAATCACAGATTTTTATTGTATGTTTAATTGAACGGCATTAGGTCAAATTGATAGCTGAGTGATCTTCAAAATATCACATCAAATATATTAGTATGCTTTCTCACTAATGACAAATTGTGCTACAGTATTTCATAAACAGCACTGCTTTTTTTAAATTTATTTTTCAACTGTCATGTTTACTGTCATTAACATCAATAAATTTTAACAGTTTGGGCCTTCACTAGCCAAGCAGTTTATAATCATGTTTTTATGGATTTCTTTTAAAAATTTATATTCCATTATCCATTGCAGTTGTTTCTCCCCCCACTGTCCAAGTCAATACTCACTGACAGAACAGAAAACATTTTCCCTTTGGGAAAAATGAAATGCATCGAGACTTTTTGACCCACAGTTTCTTTTCACTCAGAAAACACTTTATTTTTTAAAAAGTTATTTTTCTTTGGCAAACTTAAATTCCTTTCTATTTAAAGAAATTTTATATACGCTTGTTTTAGTATTTATTGGCTTAGATTTGTAATATCTTCTTAAAAACTGTTTAAACAGTGATTTCAATGTTATCTGCCACTTATTAATTCACTGAAAATTTTTGAGATTTGGCACAGTTCAGTAGATATATCAATATATTCTTTGAAGTTCAACTTTAAAAATTGTGCTCTTAATTAAATAGATTATATTTTGAGTTTAAAGACTGTTCATCTCTAAAGATATTTCTCACTTTTTTATCCTTTTCTAAAACTAGTTTGCTCATTAGATGGAGTTATAAGAAATGTCTTGACAGGAGCTTAACTGGATAGGATGACTACTTCTTTAGAACTAAAAGTTTTCTTTTAAACATCATCACCATCTGACCACGAGAAAATATTTTTTCTAGGTGGTAACAAATAAGTGTATGTTAATACCCATCTCAGTAAATGTAACACATTGGTTAGTTTTAAACAAGTAGGGACTGGGGATTTATCTCAGTGGTGCCGCTGCCTGCTTCACAAGTGCAAGGTCCCAAGTTCAATCCCCAGTACCAAAAAAATAAAAATAAATTTTAAAAAAAGTCATGTAGAACTTGTATTATATAAGTCCACAGAAATAAATATTAATTGTAGTGAATTTATTTTGTTTTGTTATTTTGTTTTCGAACAATTATTTAACGGTTAACTTCATCACCATCACTGTGCTCATTAAAATAGCTAGTATTTGCTGTTCACTTTATCCAGGGTTTTAACTGGCATCATGCTTTACCTGTTGTTATACCCATTTATCTACAAGAAAATAATCGTGGAAAAGTTAAGTGAACAGCTCAAGTGAAACAACAGAGAAATGGTGGTCAATATTTTACCTAAGGCCGTCCAATCCAGAGCCTCTGAGTTTCCGCCTAATAGCTACTCCTGTGCCCTTTGCCTGAAATCATATGTAAAATACTGACTTTGACTTCCATGTGAGCAGTGGGACAGTTACACACAACTGTCTTAATGACTATGCTGTCATCATACAAAGGGTATAAACAGAGGTGAATTGGAGGTACGCAAGCGCTACAGAGAGAAGTCTTCCAGGTGGAAATGAGGTATCAAAGTAGGCAGACTTTTACAGTGTGACGGCTCCATTTTAATACGAAGGGCCATTTTGTTATTTGAATGCCAAATTTTCCAGAATTGTCTTCACTATATAAATTAGACTTTTCCTTCTGCTTTTTTGAGGAGGGGGGGTCTCCTAAAGCTATCACTAAAAATAGCACTTTCCAGGCCAGTTTTGATATTTATTCACTTCTGTGTTTGTTTTCTTGTCTTTCCTTCAGTGACTGCTTAGGCTTAAATGGACTCCATATTTATAATCAAAGAACAAATCTGATTATTATAGGTAGGGTGGCCAGGTTGTGTCTGTGAGCCATTGCAACCTATTTACAGAACACGACTCAGAATTTTTCCTGTATACATGGGTAAGGCAGAACAAATTTCAAGCTCTATTCCACCTATCATAGATGTGTGGGCAGAAATGTGGTGTCAGTTTTTGCTGTCAAGATTTCCTTCTGAGCAGAGGACCAAATTTCCTTTGGTAACAAAGTTATCAAGGCAGTTAGCTGATAAAATAGTATTGCAAACAATTTTTGAAATCCACGTACGATTAAGGCTGAAGTCTTTTGTGCCAGAGATAATCGGTATATGAAGCGAGAAAGCTAAAAATACCAACTTTAATAGCACATCAGTCCAGGATACACAAAGACTGCATTAGTCAACAAATTCTGAGCATATCATTCCAGTAAAATTCTCCTATGCATAATATCCCAGTTTCACCTCATTGTTATCTTTTCCTTGATCTCTGCCCAGTCCTTTCTCTAATTTCTTCTCTGCTTATCCCAAGGGTCAGTCAGAGCAACAGTCAGTGTGTTTTCTGACCCTTACTCCACACTTTGCTTGTGATTTTCCACATTTTAATATGGGAAAGAAATCCCTACATGGTAACCAGGATTAGTGCATTGTTGTAGAAAAACTCAGTTCCATTTTATTAAACTTAAACTTTTTCTCCTCACTTACCATTGAGTCTGCAATAGTGCAGCTCTCTGCAGTCCCTTCTCTTAATCTTTGATCTCTGGAGCTGGCGTGAGAAGCACAAGAGATGCTTACATCTACTCCATCCAGTCCTCTGCTTCCTCCTTGAGACGTTGCACAATATGATATCCATCTTACTAGGCATGAACTACAAATCAGTAAAGTCTGGAACACAAATAGAACTTTTTTCTATGTTTTTTCTGGTGGTTTCCTCTCTTAAAAGGTATTTCATTAATCTTCAGAGAAGCCTCCTGTTTTACAGTGTTGAAAAATAAAAGTGTATATGTACTGTGGAATGATCTGTGAGAGAAAGATTACATGAGTCATTTGAAAAATTAGAAACAAAAGGAAGACTCTAAGGCCATGATGTTTGTATCTGCTCCCCTAATGGGGAGGTTTAGTTATAGTTGTGTATAATCAAGCGTAGTCCCTTTGAATAATAGGCCCACATCCAGTTGGGAGCAGGAGGGCTGTGATCCATTTGATGTTATGATTACCACGTACTTAGCAATCGGAACAAAGTGTGACATGACAGAGCTTGGCCTTGAGTTGTGACTGCAAAAGAACTTTAATGAATAAATGCTTATCTCCAAGGCCTATAAGTGAAAAGGGCAAGTTCTCTCAACTGGAAGGGAATCTGTAGCCCAATTTCTCTATTCTAAGAATGGTTCCTGAGGCCAGGTATCAAAATAATAACCTTTGAATTGAGCTCAGTATATGGGAACGCCCAACCAGTTGACATATGCTCAGGAGAGAGACCGGGTTCTTTCAATAGTGAGAATATTATACACTCACTAAGATCTAGCTCACATGTTATTTTCTTTGCAAGGCCTTTAAAAAAAAATTCTATCCATAACAAATAATTGTTTTTTCTTGTTAACCTAGATTTCATTTTATTTTATACTAATATATTTCAGTGAAGTAAGTTTCAAGAGATCTGTCTGTTTTTCAATAGTGACTGGGGAAATCCCAACAATGAGTAGTTTTTATTCTTGTTTGTGTCCTTGGAGTCTGTTGAATACCTTGGATTCAATCTATAAAACACTATTGTCCTGGATGATATCTCATTTTTATTGTTCCTTGCCTATACTGAATTTATTAGGATATTATGAATAGTACTTAAGCTCCCAGGAATCAGGCACTTAGCTTTAGTAGAATTTTATACATTGAAAGTTAAAAGAAGATGACCTTAGATATAATCTTATTTCAAGTATT